TGAAAAACGTATGTGGTACTTTTGAAAATGATATTTCCTTGATTAAATGCTTATGTGAGCATAATTAAATTTATTTATTATTATGATTAGTTATTCATGGGTTGAATAGTCATTTATAGGACTATTTTAATAAATGTAAGTGCTTGATGAGCCGAGCTCACCGCTTACCCGTTATTGTTGTGCTTTCGCTTGTTATCATCCAGGTGGGTTCTAATTTAAAATTGTCTATGCCATAAGTGTTGTTTAATGTTTAGTTGGTATGACCAATGTATGAATGTGAACCATGTGGCCTACCGATGTGAGCTGTTACGGCCGTTGGTACGGTCGTCCCCGTCGAGTTACGGTACGGTTGCCCTTGCGAGGCAAGTCTCCTTAAGACCTAATGAAAAGCCGTGTCTGTTACAGTGGCACGCACTCCCGTCGTTAGGGTTTATGCATCCCCTTTCTGCGGCTAATGATAGATGTGCACATGAGTGAGTTATTGTTGTGATTATTAGAAGATGAGACATGATGATGATTGATTTATATTCATGCTGCGACCATACCATCTTTACATGTTATTATGTGCATAGTAGTGAGCACTACTTTATCATTTGTGCTCATTCCCACCTGCTCTTCACGGATGCAGGTTAAGCAGTGGCTGGGTGACGGGACAAAGGACGAGTGGTGGTTTATTTATTGTTTCGTTCTGCTTCCGCTTTAATGAATTGGTAGTGTGAACCTTCTATGTTGTGGACATGTGAAAACAGTTTTTCGAACTATGTTTGATGTTTGAAATTATTTTGGAAAAACCTTTTATGAACTTTGAATAGTCATGGTGTTTGATTTATGAAGTTTCAATTATTCATATTGGAGATTATGTTAAAGTGTGAATCAGGTTAATGAAAACCTTGTGAAAAATCGGGTTTATTAATCCCCGTGAGTCCAGACACGACTTGGACTAAGAAAATGTGTTGGTTAATGCCATTGATTTCAAAAATGAATTCGAAAAATTTGTTCTGATTTTTAGAAAGTCCGGAATTTTCTTAAAATCAAAGTGGGGTGTTACAGTTTGGTATCAGAGCCAGTCTGCGTTTCTGTAGACTGGTTTATATGTGATTATGTGATTTTGACCTTATGTTGACCACTCGTTGTAATAACCCAACTTTTATCAGTATAATAATAGTTCAGTTCCGATATTATTTTTTCGGAGTTATTTAATTTCAGTTATTCAGTCAAAATTACCGGAACTATTTTCGACGTACAGATTACGTTCGAAATAATTTTGGTAATTTAGCATTATGTTTAATTAGAAAATTAAACATAATTAAGTGATTAATTTAATTAATCACGAGATTAGTCAATGGTTCGGATTTTATTCCGAGTTCACGTTCATTGCCGCGCATTGATCGAGTTCATGTGTTTCACCGCGTGTGCGTTCGAGCGAATGATCGAGACCGTGTCCGTGTATCATGCGTATCGATTGTTCGAGTGCCGTGCATGTGTACGTGCGAGTCCGTGTTCAGGCGCCGAGTGTGAGTGTGTTCGTCCGGGTATCCGTGCGCCATCCGCGTCCGTGAACGCCACGCGAGCATGTGTGCGGAGAGTCCGAGGTGTGCATGTCCGCGCCCCATCTTGGCATTTAGTAGGCGGAGTATCCGAGGGCGGGTTAGAGTCCGTGCATTACTCTTGGCGGCTTGTGGGCGGAGTGTGCGAGGGAACTCATTGCCATGATGTCCGTGCGCCCCTTTGTCCTTATTGCCGTGAAGCCCGCGCACAATGCCGAGATGCCCCCGCCTCATTTATCCGCGCACCCCATCGTCCATATTCGCCCGAGAGTCCGTGCCATTTTGTTGGCACTAGGGCGGAGTCTCCCATGCCCGTACCCATGTGATGCGCATTGACCGAGCCCCTCTTTTGTCCGCCCAAGCATTCGGCCTTTTCATTTAAAAGGGGGACTTAGCACATTTTGTTCCATTTCTCCTCCAAATCCTCTAAGGCCGAGAGAGATAGTGAGATATAGTGTGAGTTTGTGTGTGTTCGGGAGCTAGCCGAGTACCGCACGCCCGCACCGAGAGCCATCGCAAGCCACGACGCACGCTACGCCCAAGCAACTCACGCACGCAACACACTCGCACGCGGAGGGTTTCGACCGAGGGTTCAAGAGTTCGAGAGTTTTATCTCCGGAGCATATAAGAGGTAAGTTCCACCGAGTATATGACCTAGTATATCATGTTCATGTGAGAATAAATGTTTAAAATTGTTCATGCATGCGAGAATTATGCGAGCCGTACCCATGCCGTGCCGTTCATGTCTCATTTTTAGTAATTCACGAATCATGTTGTTAATTTTATAGAATTAACCGAGTAACCCTAGCACATTTAGCTTTTATTTGAGAAAATATGCTTATATAAATTCATGTGTTCGGTAGAATTTAATCATGTTTAAGAAATGTTCGGCCGAGGTTAAGTGGATGCGCAAATAGCGCGCCACGGCCGTGCATGCATGTCCGTTATGTTAAGTTCATATTTTGCCGACCAATGCCAGCATGTTTAGCGTTATTTTGAGATATCATGTTTAAGTGTTCGGATGAAATTATCATGTTACTAGTATTTTGGCCGAAGGGGGTGGTCGCACCCGTAGTGCGCACCACGGGCACTCAAGTTCCATTTCATGATATGTTCGAGTTTTCCGACCATTATGTGTTATTTAATTCAGAAAAATCATGTTAAGTTCAGTTACATGTGAATTGCCGAGAAATTATGATGTTCGGTCATAAAACGGCACAATGCCGTCGGCGTGCATGGCGCCCCGCCGCGGCCTTAGTTCAGCTTTCATGTTAATATTCATGTTTTCAGCCTATATGTGCCTATATGTGCATATGTGTTCATGTCATGCATGTTGAAGTCCGTTTGTTCGGAAAATATCGCCGGACG